GCGGCTGCAGAGGTGAATATTCTTTATTATCTTCAATTACCTGCAGCTCAACGGCTCCCGCAGGACGCAGAGACCAGGACGACAGGCTGATGAGGACATAACCGCTGTTTTGGAAGCGTCTCCTGAGGGGGAAACACGACTCTTCTTACTAAACTCTTACTAAGCCCTGCTGCACTCTGTGTGTGTGTGTGTGTACCTGTTTTTCTATTCTGGTGGGGACTTAAACCTGAATACACACAGACTCATGGGGACTCGTGTCACGGTGGGGACCTAAATTGAGGTCCCCACGGGTAAACAAGCTAATAAATCACACAGAATGAAGTTTTTTGAAAATCTAAAAATGCACAAAGTTTCCTGTAAGGGGTAGGGTTGGTGTAGTTTAGTGTCATGATCTCTCTTTCCGTGTGTGTGTGTGTGTGTGTGTGTGTGTGTGTGTCTGTCCCATGCAAGGCAGAAAATTGAAATCCAGAAAGACTGGCAGTAATTTGATTAGTTCTGTGTGTGTGTGTGTGTGTGTGTGTGTGTTGCATTGATATCTGAGCAGTTGTAATTAATTTAAGAATGGACAGCTCTGAAAACACCCTTCATTAAGAGATCTGTCTCTTCTGCCTGTCTCTCTCAATAACATGCCACAAAAAAATGGGTACAACTCATGGAAGCTGCTATGAACATGTCCAGGTCATATTCAAAGAAAGTAGGAAAGCAGCATGCATTATTAATTATAATTAATATATTCCTTGGGTATATTTATGAAACTCAATATGTATGATAATTATATTTAGTCATTTATGCATTTTTGCATCGACACTTTTAGGGTAATTGAGCACGTTTTCCTCAATTCCCTTCAAAAAGTATGATTTATATATATATTTTTTATTTTATTGTTTCATTTGTATTTTAATTTATTTTATATTCATATTAAAATGTTTATTTTTATTTATACCTTAAATATATTTAAATTGAAATACAAGTAATAATACGTCATTGTATTATGTATGTGTGTTGTATGTGTGCGTGTATATTTTTGTATTTTAATTATATTAATTCATTCATACATTTAAGAAAATTAGTATGTAAGATAATACTTGTATTTTATTAAACAATTCTGGCATTGACATTTTCAAGACCAGTCACATTTTCAGTCAGATTTTTCTCCAAAAAGTATTGATTTGATTGATTTTTAAATTTAAATTTGCTTGTTTTTATTTTATATTCATTCGTTTATTTGTTTGTTTATTTATGTATTTATTAATATTTAAGAAAATCAGAACAGTATGTGAGAGAACTGCATTCATTAATTTACTTGATATTTATTTATTTATTTATCTATCTATCCATTTGTTGTGATGCCTTATGGGGGGGAAAAAAGTAGTCTAATATCAGATTACCACAGTTTTATTGTTGAACACAGTAACTGTATTAGTAGCTGGCTGGTGTGGTTTTTTGGCAGAGGTCTGTCTCTATTAATGTGAGAATCATGTGTGAACTCAACACACTGCAGGATGGCTGCAGTACTGACATTAGAGAGAGAGAGAGATACAGAGAGAGAACCTTTGTAAAACTGGATCAAGTCTGTTATATTTGATCATTTCTGGAGGTTTTCTAACAGTTTGGGGTTTATTTGTGAAGACTCAGCACTTATTGAACACTGATGTTGTGAATCCATTTAGCCTATACTCTTTTTCAGTCATGTGAATGAACAGGATACTTGTTGTAATGCCAGAAGTTTTGTATTAACAGTCCTGGATTAGACAGATGATTGTGTTTCTGTTTAATCATCACATATAGGATACACAAGTTCTGGTGTCAGTATGAATCTTCATTGTCTTCTACACATGCTGACAGTGCAGCAGCTGATTCATTAACGGTGTGTGTGTGTGTGTGTGTGTGTGTGTGTGTGTGTGTGTGGACGCGGCCGTAGACAGAATCGATTCGGTCCAGCCGTGAATTTGTCCTTTATCACAGTAATATGATTCTCATTGATGAAACACTTTTTCATAATGCCCTGCAGGGCTTAAAGTGTCTACTTTTAAGGTTTCAAATAAGTTTTTGGAGAATAAATGAATTTGGTTGAAATACCGTTACATTGCCATTCAGTGTAACACAATATTTATGTAAAAATTCAAACAACATGCTTATTCTGACTTAAAATATATAAAAGAATAAGAGAGCATATTAAATTTTATTGTGTTTTAAATGAGTAAAAAATTCTTACTGACAATTGGGCAAAACCTAGGATAGTGGCAAATTTAAAAAATGTAAAATTGCAACTAATTAGTATTTGGGGTGAAAGTAATTAGTCTTTTAATATGTCATAAATAGATTTTTGTTGTAAATATGCCTGAAAAGAATGTTACACTGAATGACATTTTAGTGGGTCTCTTCTGTAAATCAGGGAAAAATGTATGGTATTTATTTTTTGCTCTGAAAAACAAAAACAAATTTGCAATTAAATTAAACAGAAAACTTTTTACATTTTTTGGGGAAAAAAAACAACAATTTAAAGCAGTATTACACTTATTGTTTTTATGCTTAAACACTTTTTCGTCTTTGACCCATTAATATACATTTTAAAATGTGATCATTCAGGGTTGCTTGATTGATAGATGTTATTATTATTATTATTATTATTATTTAATTAATTGAAATTAAGTATTCATCACATCTTGTTTATTTTTTTACCTATCTGTTTTCGTTTTCTTTATTTTCTTTATATTTTTATTTCATTTTCAGTTTTCATTTATTTAAATTGTATACATACTTATTCATCATTGTCTTTTTTATTTATTTATAATTTAAAATGTGACATATTTAATAATCATGGTCATGTTGTGTTGCCTTTAAATGTCTACCAAAATTTGCCCATAACTAAACAATGATTTACTGTAGAATCCAATAGAATGAATTCACAGGTGTGGGTTATTGGCATCTTCCGATGTTTCTGATCGGATGTTGGTCTGTTTTATGAGCACTTCCTTCTCATTCCCACAATTCCTTCTGCTTGCATGAGAGCTCCTGTTTACTGAAACACAACATCTATGATTGAAATTCTATGAATATACAATGTTATTAATATTCAAACTGAGAGCAATGAAGGTGATGAACCTCTGACCTGGTGCATCTTGTGTGTGTGTGTGTGTGTGTGTGTGTGTGTGTGTGTGTGTGTGTTTGTTTGTGTGAATCTCCTCAAATAACCCGCAGACAGTGACCCAGTTTGACTTTCTGAAGTAGCTGGAAGCATTTCTGCAGCTCGGGATGAATTTGGGGCAACTTGTCAAGTGATGATTTCTGCATTATGCATTTTTAATCAGTTAGAGGAAGTGTGTTTGTGTGTTTTATAGTTATTATAGACTAGTTTTGTTCATGAAGATGGCTTTTGCACCTGACAAGATGATGTTTGCAGGCATTTTTAATGTTGTTAAATACATACATATTCCATGAGCAGTGAATGTTAAAAGAGTACTTCACCCAAAATGAAAGCTTGCTGAAAATGTACTCTCTCATGACATCTAAGATGTAGATGAGTTTGTTTCTTCATCAGATTTGGAGAAATGTAGCATTACATCACTTGCTCATCAATGGATGCTCTGCAGTGAATGGGTGCCGTCAGAATGAGAGTCCAAACAGCTGATAAAAACATCACAATAATCCACAAGTAATCCACACCACTCCAGTCCATCAGTTAATGTCTTGTGAAGTGAAAAGCTGCGTGTTTGTAAGAAACAAGTCCATTATTAAGATGTTTTTAACTTCAAACCAAGTCCATAATAATGTGGTGTAAGATTCGTCTTGTCTGAATCAGGAGAGAAATCTGCACAGATCAAGCAACATTTACAAGCCAAAGCAGCTCTAAACAAATATGTGGGTGGATTTTGATGTGAGAGACAACAGGAGATGGACTTTTTTCACTGGACTATTTTGGTCAGACGCAAGTTTGAAGATAAAATGCCTTTATGATGAAATTATTTCTTACAAACACGCAGCTTTTCTCTTCACAAGGCATTCACTGATGGACTGGAGTGGTGTGGATTACTTGTGATGTTTTTATCAGCTGTTTAGACTCTCATTCTGACGGCACCCATTCACTGCAGAGGATCCATTGATGAGCAAGTGATGTAGTGCTACATTTCTCCAAATCTGATGAAGAAACAAACTCATCTATGGCCTGAGGGTGAGTAAATTTTCATTTTTGGGTGAACAATCCTTTAAATATGTCAGATTGTGAAGTAGCATCGGATCGGTACCCTTCTTCCTCTTCCTCGGTTTGTTTTGTGTGTTCAGGAGTGCAGTGACGGCTGCTCAAATAAGCAATACACAGATTAATGACTCGCATTAAGGGGTTAAGAGCAGGAGACGTGCATGACGGCCTCACGCCAGCCTCCGTCACACGAAACATTAGTGCACAGAAATGCTTTGCAAAGTGGCGCTTGGCTCACAATGCATGCGTAAATTATGTAACGCAACTACATTATACATGAGAAACAAAATTTGAATACATGGTCTTTGGTTGGGCATGTAAATGGCTTCAGTAGAGATGCATTTGAAGGATCATGTGACACTGAAGCCTGGAGTAATGATGCTGAAAATTCAGCTTTGATCACAGAAATAATAATTTTTTTTACAATATATTCAAATAGAAAGTGGTTATTTTGTTTTGTAATATTATTTCACAATTTTGCTGTTTTTACTGTATTTTTGCACAACTAAATGCAGCCTTGATGAGCAGAAGAGACTTAAAAACATTACCGACTTCACATTTTTGAACAGTAGTGCAAATAATTCAGTGCATGTGGTTTAAACTTAAAGGTGAAGAGCTTGAAAAAAGTCTGCACACTCAAACATCAAAGAGTCAACAAGTGAGATGAAAGCAATATAAGCAATTTACTGAGTAAAACAAGGCAAACGTTTTGGTCACATGTTGACCATTTTCAATGCCAAGCTAACAAACTTAAAGCACATGATTTATCCCTGTTGTGTGTGTGTGTGTTTGTTTGTTTCAGGATCAGGAACGGTGTGTGTGGAGCACAGAGACCTTCTTCATAAATCTGCTCAGTTCATGGATATTCCCCTCTGGGCAGGTCAGTGAGGAGAGCAAACACTCGCATGCTGCATTTGCATGAAACTGAGCTGAGGTTTTCTGTAAGACGGATCAGCTAATATCTGGCTCGGCCCTCCGGTGTGTTCGGGCTCTCGGGGAAATGTGCTGGATCCCTTCGAAGGGTTCTGTGCGTTTGAGTAATTGATGAATTGTAGTGAATATCTGGACAGGCTTCATTTTGTCGCCCTCATCGGCTGCTTAATAACTGTAAATAGGCTCAAAATCTCCCTGCTTTTCTTCGCTTAAATCGGAGTAACAAGGTTATTTTTAAATTAAGCACATTTATCAAACTACCAGGAGCTTGTTTGCAAACTTAAGTGGTTATTACTTGGCCTCAAAACCCAATTAAACTCACTTTTTACGCACACACTTTTTCTCACAAGCACACTTTCTGTTTTTGAGGGCGTTTGTTGTTGCCTTGATATTTCTATACTAGAATAAAGAAGCTTATTTTGTTTTTATTAATTGTGTTAATTGTGCTAACTAGGGATGTCACCATATTTTAGTAGTTAATGAAATTTCACAGTTCTCTTTAATATCACAGCTAAACTAATATGCGATTCGGGGTTATCATTGTTAACTAAAACATTTTCATTACTTGGAATAAAATAAACATTAACTGAAATAAACACATAAACGTATTTTGTTTACATCTAGCTGATACTCTCCAAAATGGCGCCAGGGTGATGCAGAGGAGACTAATTGTTGAATAAAGTCGTTTTTTTTTTCTTTTGCGCACAAAACGTATTCTCGTAGCTTCGTAAAATTACGGTTGAACCACTGATGTCACATGGATTATTTTACCGATCTCCTTGCTACGTTTCTGGACGTTGATCGTGTAAGGACCCTTGCTGTCTATGGGAGGGTCAGACAGCTCTCAGATTCCACAGATCTATTGTGCATTCAAAGGAAAGCCTTTGGCTTGAGTTGCAGAAGGCATGGGATAACATTAGTGTTGAAGTTCTCAGGAAATATATTGACTCTGAGATGTGCTGCTGTAATTGCTGCGGAAGGTGGACACACCAAATATTCAAGTTAAAAGTGGATAAAAACAGTACGATATTTGTTTTGCTCAGAGCAACCATCTGCATGTTTCATGAACATTATGAAATTAAATCATGTTTTGGATGCCAAAAAGGTCAATATTTTAAGATCTGTCAGGTGTTCTAATAATTTTGGCCATCACTGTAGTTGCCAAGGCAACATTTCTCATTTTTGATTAAAGGCACAATATGTAATTCTCGCTGCTGGAGGGCGCGTATTCAAAATAAACAAAGAGACAAAGGCGTAGTTTGATGACGCCGTGACTGAGTGTGGAATCATGGGAGTTGTCGTCTTCATCCCCACAGCCGATGCAATCCGACAGGACTCGGGCAGAAATCATGTTCATGGATGAGCTAATGATTTATTAACGTAGTAGAATGAAGCAGGGTGAGGCTGAAAGCCGTCGAAGCGAAACGAGGCCGCTGAACCAGCGCGACACTATGTGGGGTAAAGCAGCGCTGTTTTATCATACTAGATACATTTGAAAGTTCTGTTATAATGCTACTCTGTGCGGTCGTCACCGGTCTATTAAAACGCACAACATATTAAAGCATCTTTGGCGTTTCCATGTTTTCTACAAAACATGAAATCGAGGGGTTATGACGTCATTGGCAGGCGACACACTGACACTATGGACACGCTCCAGTCTCAATGGGTCCTGCGTACTGTAGAAAGAGGCTACAGAATTCAGTTCGGTTCTCGTCCGCCTCGATTCAGTGGGGCCCCCCACTCTAGTGGGTCCCGAGCAGGCTCTGGTATTAGAACAAGAAGTAGTTACTCTCTTAAGGAAGGAGGCCATCGAGGTGGTCCCTCCGCATGAGACAGACTCCGGGTTCTACAGCCGGTACTTCATTGTTCAGAAGAAGGATGGGGGGTTGCGTCCTATTTTAGATCTGCGCTATTTTAGATCTGAAGTTCAGCACACTCGCACTCAAACAGGTAGTGTCTCAGACCAAGTCCGAGGACTGATGTGTCACGATCAATCTAAAAGATGCACATATCTCCATCCTTCCTCATCTCACAGAAGGCGTCCCCCTAGCGTTTTCCGACACAGCGTCTCGTTCCCTCGAGGAACCAGGGTTACATACGTAACCTGAGACGTTTTTGGATATTTTCTTAAAAAAAATCTTACATATTGTGCCTTTAAGGTACTGAAAGTAAATAAACTAAAACTTATTCAAATCTACAATATATAGACAAATTATAAAATAAAGAAATAATAACAAAAACACACCACAAAATTACTAAAATTTGAACTAAAGTTAAACTGAAAAAAAAAATACACCTATAGTTTATCAGTTATACTAAAATAACACTGATGCAAGTAAGCATATATCACAAAAACACAAAATTACTAAAACTAATTTTAAAATGAAAAAAAAAAAAAAAAAATTTTTATTAAAAATATAAAAAATATTGATCTTATTCAAATCTACAATATATAGACAAATTATAAAATAAAGAAATAATAACAAAAACACACCACAAAATTACTAAAATTTGAACTAAAGTTAAACTGAAAAAAAAAATACACCTATAGTTTATCAGTTATACTAAAATAACACTGATGCAAGTAAGCATATATCACAAAAACACAAAATTACTAAAACTAATTTTAAAATGAAAAAAAAAAAAAAAAAAATTTAATTAAAAATATAAAAAATATTGATATTAAAAATAACACTGTTTTATTTGTACTAGTAAAGTATTATATTATATTTATTTATATGAATATTAACAAGTGCATGCTAATATTCTAAATTAATTGCTTGTGTTTCTCAAGCAAGCACACCAGTAAACTGTCAGTAAAGAGATCTAATTAAAATGCAGTAACCAAATTGAGTTAATATATCTTTGTTTTCGATCTACAGTATATGGGATCAAAGTAGCAGTTTGTTTAACATCCCTGCTGTTAATTGCATTGCATTCTTATTGCATAAAGAGAGATTCTAGCTACATAAGCTTGATTTCAGAAAGCAGTTCATATTGTAGCGTAAGAACATGTCACTTTCTCTGTTGCTGCAGGAACATGTTAAGTACACACAACAGCAGCACATACTTGCTGTGTGTTACTTCTGAGTGTGTGTGTGTTTGTCAGGATTGATGGTGTTGAATATCTGTCAGCAGGCAGCAGAGCTTGATTTATATTCCTGTGTTGTATTGACTGCTCTAGCATTTATTCATTACACTGAAGCTGCCTTCACATGCACATACCGAGAAAACGTGCAGTTTATACAGCAGATATAATTCATGTAAGAATCAGCTTTTTGTCTCATAGGTCTCCTTTATTTATTAAAAGCATGCACTTTTTAATAACAAAAATATATATTTTAGTTGATTTGTACGTCATTTGTTTGGCAAATTAAAATTGTGTTCACTTATAGAAGTGCACTATTTATTTATTACAAGCACATCCTTAAAGTTAATTTTGTTTACTTGTAGATGTGCAATATTTATTTATTTATTTATCAACATTTTTTATAAATTTGTATTTATTATGCTTAATTTTGTTTACGTGTAGAAGTACACTAGCATATATGTATTAAAAGCATATTCTAAGTTACTTTAGTTCACTTGTCAAAGAACACTAGTATTTTATTTATTTAGATCACTAGCATTCGTTCGTTCGTTCGTTCATTTGTTCGTTAATTTATTCACTTATTTGTTTTTTTTTTGGTTTGTGCAGAAATACACTTGCATTTATTTTTATTTATTTATTTATTTACTTATTATGCTTAGTTTACTTGTAAAAGTGCACTATTAGTGCACTTTTACAAGTAAACTAAGCATAATAAGTAAATAAATAAATAAATAGTTTATTTAAACACATGCTAAAAGTTAATTGTTCAGTTGCTGAAGCATACTATCATTTGTTTTAAATGCTTGAAGTTAATTTTGTTCATTTGAAGTACACTAGCATGTAGCACTAGATGAATCTACAGTTTGTAATAGTTTTGGCAAATGTGATGTGTGTTTTCAGTTCTGATTTAAGTATGTGAGCAGAATTCTCCATATTTATTCTCTTAAATTAGCACCGAAAATGTGATAAACTCCACAGATTGAGTCTGGAGCTGCTCCTGACCCATGAATCCAGTGCTGTGTCATGCTGCGGTGTGTCTTTAACCTCTCGCGTGTGTGTGTGTGTGTGTGTGTGTGTGTGTGAAGAGGAGGAGTGGACGGAGAGCCGTGCTGGCGGAGGGGTTTTTCTGTAGAGCCCATTAGAGGGCCCCATAAATCTGCTCTCACAGCCACTGCAGCACTGAGACTTTCTCATTCAGCCCAAAGCTTTCTCTCTGTTCTTCATTTAGAGGTGGCTGAGGGATGCAGGGAAACCCCGGCTGGTGTTTCTCTCCTCTGAGTCAGTCACATCATTGCTGTCTGAGGAGTTCATTCAACAGCTTGACGTTTTCTTCAGTCCTGATGTGCATTTGTAATGTTTCTTGTACTAAAAACAGTCGTAATGTGGTTTCTAATAATTCTTCCCCACCTTTAACTATAATAAAAAATATTTAAATCTTGATACAAGATACATTTACTTGAAGAAGCATGAGATATTAAAACTTGTTTTCATAAATTACCTTAATTGCAAGTATATTTAGTCTCACCGGACTAGTGAAATTTACTAAATGAAACAAGTTCATTGCACTTAACAGAAAAAAAGTAATGTGAGCTCAATAGATTAAGATTAATATATTTTATAATGCATGTTGTGTTATTTGAAAAACTGCACTTTTTGCAAGTACATGCATATGGTGCAGTTGCTAGCTATTAGATAATTCAAACTAATTGATTCTTTTTCATTTTAATGGATTTACTGAATTTAGTTGTTTTAGCTACACAGTGTGTTGGAGTCAGGGTTAGTATAATTGACTAAAAATAAAACCTTAAAAATATATTACTTGAAGTCAGGGCCGTTTCTAGCCAATTTGACCCCTT